TTCATCCAGCCACGGCCACTCGAGTTGCTTCTGCCTCTCAGGCTGTTGGTGGAGGACAGAGGAGGCTGGATACCCGAGCAATCAACAGGAAGCAGGTCTATTAGTTGCATCGGTCCAGAGTGGCTATCACCTAAAAATCACTGGGCCTCGAGTCTGGAAATTCATTAACCCTTATACTCAGTGGGGTGGTTCCGGGTTGGTGGGTGGGTGATATAACAGTTACTCTTTGTCCCGTATTTTTAGGTTAGGCCAAGGTTGTGCAACTTTTTAACCACAGAAAGCAGAAGTGACAATTCTTGTATATCATCCAGTTTGCAGGCAAATTTAGGTTTTGTGAGAAAGCAACTTAGCCCTTACAGAAGATAGAAAGTTCCAAAGCACACCGAGCTCTTTGCAGACATTTTTTAAAAAATTGTTTTAGATGTTGATGGACCTTTATTTATTTTTATGTGGTGTTGAGAATCGAACCCAGTGCCTCACACATGCTAGACAAGCGCTCCACCACTGAGCCACAGCCCAGCCCATCTTTGCAGACATTTTTGTTCTTATTAACATAATAAGAACAAGTATGGCGAGGGTCTCCGGAGGAGCATCCTCCTGAGTCTATGGTGGCGGAGCAGCCACTGCAGTGAACAGCGCTGTGAAGAGCTCTCGTGGGCGGAGCTCTCGTGGGCGGAGCTCTCTGCTTCAAGCCAGCGCCTTCAGTTCTTTAGGCGAGTTCCCAGAAGTGGGATCGCTGGGTCCCCAGGAGTCTGGGCCGCGGGTGCTACTGGTAAACTCTGAACACTGTACTTAATGTTCACCTGGAGTTGTCACCCAGCCTCCCTTGCTGTCCCATTCCTGCATGCTTTTCTTCTGTTGTCACCTGAGAGAACCTTGAGGCACCTCAGAGAATGTTGTGAGATTTAGATCTGAAGAGTGCAGGAGACACCTGAGGGTGGGTCCCTTCCCTGTCACTGCAGAAGGGGATCTTCCCAGCCCCTTCCCTGTCACTGCAGAAGGGGATCTTCCCAGCCGGGGCCAGGGGTGAGGCCTGTGGTTCTGCAGCTGCTGGTCCCAAGCCTGGCTCCTGCTCTGCCCTCTATGGTTTTTTGTGGCTGCTGGTGGCCGCCTCCTGGCCTTCTTTTTGGTTGAAGAAGGTCCACAGGCTCTGACTGGGGACATCTGTCTTCCAGGATAGACCTTAGCTGACCGTGGCCTGGCCCTTCCCCTGGCTCATGGACAATTAACATCTACATTGGTGTGGCCCCTAGGGACATGCACCTGCCTCCCAGTAGCCGAGGAGCAGGAAAGAGGACGTCAGAGGTGTCCCCGCCCATCTGTTTGTCCAGGGCAATCATTCCTGTGCCAGGAGGTACTTCTAGGGCTTGTGATGTCAGGAGGGCATCAGGGCTGGTAGTGTGCAAGTGTCTGAGATAATGGCTTCAGATTCCAGGGTGGCCCTGGGGACACTGGCATTCAGGAGACAACTGACACCCAGTCAGCCGCTTCACAGCAGAGGGCGTGTCCCCTCCAGACCTGCTGCTTCAAACACCATCAGAGGCGACTCACTGTAGGTAAACGCGCTCCGCCATTCCTGAAATGGCACGATTTGCTCTAGAGTTAGCTGAGGGGAGGCAGCAGAGTTGCATGTGTGTGTGTGTGTGTGTGTGTGTGTGTGTGTGTGTGTGTGTGTGAGAGAGAGTGTGAGCGGAGGGTGTGGTGCAGCCAGAACCACATGAGCCATTGGCTAGAGCTGTCTGGTGACACGGGGAGGTTCACCCTGCTGTGCTCTGGATTCCCACATGCACGTGGCACCTTCCTTATGAAACGTCAAGGTAAACCAGCGGGTCCCTCCGGCGCTGGTTGGGAGCTGGCCTCTGGCTTCCTCGCCCTTGCAGTGAACACCCCACCCCCTTTACCAGGGGAGCACAGAGGCCCCCTGACAGCGCTCCTGGACGAAGAGAGGCTTAGGAGGGTTTGAACCAGATCTCATTCCCAAAACACCGGGCTGCCCCGTGACCTACTGCTCCTGGGGGGACTGTCCTCCCTGGGGGTCTGCCCAGCCAGGGCCAACTCAGCCACTGGAAATCCAGCCCACCAGAGGCCCTCCCTCACCACCCCCAGCAGGGCCTGCCTGCAGGGACCTAGATGGAGGTGATGGTGTGGCCTTGGGGGTGGAGCGGTAGTGACTCCTTCAGGTCACGTGGCTCTTGCATGGCAAAGCCACCTTCCCCGTGCCTAGCTGAGACTTTTTCCCCCAGTGTTCCTTATCTCAGTTGCTCTAGAAGTGTGGCCTCCTCCCTGCCCCAAGTCCCTGGGGCCTCTGCCGTCACCTCGTTAGCAGGTCTCGTTTCCTGTGCCTTCCCTGGGCTCCTAAACTTGCTGCTCACATCTTCCCTCACCCCTGGGCTCCCGCGTGGCCCGTGACTCCAATTCCCCAGCATCCCCTCCTGCTCGTTTCCGCCCCGTTCTTGTTTGGTAGCTGTGCCTCTTGGCTCGCTTGGTCTGGTGCCAGGGGACCCCTGGGTAGAGCAGGGCCATCTTTCCTTCCTGTGCTGTGCAGAGGCTCCCAGGGAGCTCCCTGTCAGGTGCCAGCCGTGAGGCGCTGTGGGCCGTGGCGCCCTCTGATGGCTGCTGGGTGAGACTCCAAGCGCGGCCAGTGCTGACAGCTAGCTGCCCACTGTGCCCACCATGGCCGCCTGCGCTGGCCACACGTGGACGCCCAGCAGGCCCCTGTCTCAGCCAGCTCTTTCCTCCTCCCCAGGACACTACTGATTTTCTTGACCCTTCTCTTTCAACATTCTCCGAAACTCACCCTAGTGAGATCTAGAAGGAAGATGGGATTTCTGGATCCGGAGGCCAGGGTTTAGGAAACAGATAAGTCTTGGGTGGTTAATTTCTCGTTTCTAATGCAGGATCATTGAAAGACGAGATGCAAACAGAGAACGTGTGTTTCTTTCCCGAGGGTCTGGGTCTTGTCAGCCTGCCTGGGTTTCAGGCTGACAGGAACCTCATCGGGTCTCTCTGGAGCCCCTCAGCCTGTCCCTTGTCTTGCAGGGCTCTGGGCCCTGATCGTGGTACTCGGGGGCTATTTTCCACGGTAAGGAGCACCTGGGTTTATATATGGAGGCCGCGGCGTCTCCCGTGTGGGTGGTGGAGGCAGAGTTGGCTCTAACACCACGTCTCAGCCTGGGCTCACGGTTGCTGCGGGGGGCCCTCTAATACCCAGCATTTCCCTGCAGAAGCGTCCGGGGCCTGGCAACAGGAGCTGCCTGGCTGCAGAGGGATGTCGCCGTACCCCCTGGAATTCACACAGGGAGACTTCCTCCTTGGGTGGTCGTTTGAGAAGGGGGGGCCTTTTGTGAGGGATCAGTGCGCTTCCAGAAGAGTCTGATAGGAGCCTGTTTGCCACTCCTGTCTTGTGAAGTCCCACAGAAGCCACCAAGTATGAGAGACAGGCCTCACCTGACCTGGATTCACTGGTGCCTTGATCTTGGACTTCCCCACCCTGAGAGCTGTGAGCAGTAGATTTCTGTCATGTACCAGTGACCGGGTGGAAGGAATTTTATGACAGCAGCCTGCAGAGGCCCAGATGCATCTGAACAGAGGCACAGCGGGGCCCTCTTAGGTGGCCAAGAGCAGAGAGGGTGAAGTAGTCAGCGTGACTCTCCTTGTCCCTCATGTTAGAATCCAGACTGTCATGGCCAGCGCCTCTTCTGGAAGTATCTCAGGAATAGTTGCTGCCTGGAGGTCCTCGGAGCTTCTGTCACTGTCCCTGCCATGGTTACCATCTGTCCCCTGCAGCATGATGATTCAGGGGAGCGTGTCTAGGTGGGTGCTGTCATCAGAAAGGGGCCTGGTCACCTACTGAAGTCCACGGCCACAGTGTCCAGTGCTGTTCAGCGTCCGGTTTCATCCTGATAGGCACGACGCTGTGATTCCTAATTTTCTTTTATCTTTAATTCTCCCAGGGTTTTTTTGTCACTTTCTCTTTATAAATCCGCATGTTTTTCTTGGCTTGAGGAAATCACATCCATTTGCAATGTTTTAAAGATGCTCAAGAAACCCCGACGTCTGCCAGCAGGGAAATAGTGATCCAGATGGGAAGTCACCGCGACTGTAATATTATTGTTTTTATTGTGACACTGAAGCCTACATCAGATTGTGTTCAAAATAATCATAAGGGAGATTAGGATGGGGTGGTGTGATTTCAGGAGAAATTCTGATTATTCTTCCAATAACCTTTAACACAACTCTGAACCCTAAATATCTACTTCACACATGCCTCATGTAGGATGCCGGCAATATTGTTCACATGTTTTTTCCTAAATGTTAAATTTTTAATGATGGGTGAAATAGGAGGGAAGTTCAATCAGACTCCATCAGACAAGACACTTCTACTTCTGGGCAAAATCCCAGCTCCCTCCACCCAAGAGAGGTGCCACTGGAGAGAAGCTGGGGGCTTGAGATTTGGGCTCACTCAGAAGCCGGGGAAGGACGTGACTGGGCATGCACGGGTAGCATAAGACCAGGGGACACAGGTAGGTGGGAAGGGTCTGTGTGGGTCCGGGTAGATGAGGCAGCTCCAACAGATCCCCAAACCTGGCACGAGAAGGGTTTGCAGTGAGAAGACTTTTTTTGCCAGTGAGCGGTTTCTGCCTGACCCAGGCAGGGGGCCGTCGTGCCCTGAGTTACTCATCTTGCCTGTGATTGGCATGTGTAGAAGCCAAAGCTCCCAGCCCCGGTGCCTAGAAGATGCAGTATTGCAAAAGGTCTAGCTCAGGACTCTCAGAGCTGAGGCTGAGGCTAGACCAAAAGCCTTCAGGGCCCCTCATAGGCCAGAAATCTGGATTTCCTGCACATTTTTAAAACACTGCAAATGGATGTGATTTCCTTGCTTTTCATTTAGAGCTATCTCTATAGCTCTGTGGACACAGGAGGTACCTATAGCTAGCTCCCCAAACTTCATTTGCAGAGATAATTAAGGGATGCTAGTTACCTAAGCAAGCTATTAAGGGTGGCTTTGCTAAGGCTTTTTATTTGCAAACTAAAATGAGTACATTTCTAGAGTTTGAGGGCCCTCACGCAGGATGCTGGAAGAATCTGGATTCCGCTCAGTCATTGCCGATGCTCCCAGGTCTGTCTGCCACGTGTCCATGCAGAGTTGGAGGGAGTGGGCTGTGGGAGTCCCCTGCTCATTGTCTAGAGATGGCCGTGGTTTTTCCTCACTGCTGCTCTTGCTTTTCATTTAGAAGCGAATCACCATTAGTGTAGCTTTTCAATGCAGTTTGGTGAGGGCTGTTTGCTTCTCGAGGTGATGACCCTGTGGGCCTATCATTTGCTAAGAATTGGACTCAAACTTGTGTGTATTTTCATTTGAACAAATTGCACTCCCGCCCTGTCCCCACCCTACAGTGCACTGTGGTGTGATGCTTAGTCTTTGTCACAGAGTCCTTTGTCACCTGGGAAGTGGAGACAGTTGAGATTGGGTGACCCCGGTACTTCCTTTGTGGGCAATGGTGTAAAAAGATGAATAAAAAATAACCCGTGTGGGAATCTGTGCTCCTGATGAGAGACTGGGGAGTAGACTCGGCCCAGAAAGGAGAGGGGACAACCTGGGAATGTGTCCCCGCGTCATCCCACACTTAATGGTGTGTTTTGAAGGGTACCCTCGGCTGCTTCTCTGTGCCACTGTACTTCCAGGCCACGGGTAGCTCCGTGTCTGTGCCTGGGTCGGTGACACACCTGTGCATTTCATGTTCTGCTTTGTCATTGATCTGTTCTTTCCTGGGTCTCTGGAGTAGTTTGGATTCTTTTTCGTGCCTGTGTGACTGACTGTTGTGTCGATGTGTCATGCCATCAGAGCTCACGGGAGCATCTGGATGGCTTGCCGAGGCTGGCTGTTCCTGCACCTCTTCCCCCCTCAGGACTCACTGGAGCATGTGGGGCTCCAGGGTCCTGGCTCTGGGGGATGCTGCCACCCTGGGGCTCACCTGGGGACCTGGCGGGGCTCACCTGGATAGGTCTGCAGGGGAGTCCCGGCACCTTCACAGTGCTGACAGCATTTTCCCTTACCTGGTAAGGAGCCGCAGGAGGGAGCACGTGTTTCCTCCTCCACCTCTGGCTGTGACCTCATCTCAGTGTGCCGCACAGCATGGAGCTTTGCCCCTTTAGCATGGGAGTCCACATGGCGGGTTCTCAGTGGCTCTGACATCGAGGTGCTGTGAAATCCATCACAGTGGATCCCTAGAAATTTGCGTTGGGACCATCTGTTCTCAGAATCTCAGGGAAGATGAGCCCCCTCCTGCGCCCCGCACCTCCTGCTCCTGCCTGGCTGCTGGTGGTGCTGGGAGAAGTCCCCGAGCCACCATGTGGAGCCACCATCTGTGACTGACTGCATGATCAGGGCCTGGGGTGATCTGGGTTTCTGTCTTTGGCTTGAAGATGAACCTGAAATGAGCCAAGTGGGCACCCGTCACCTGCGCTCCGTCCCTACTCGGGGAGGAGGAGAGAGCATTGTGGGGAACAGAGTCAAAGCCTCCCTAGGCTGGCATCAGAGGGGTTATGGTCTTTATTTCTTTCCAGTGTCAGGGGTCAGCCCCAGGGCCTTGCACAAACTAGGCCCATACTCTGTGGCTGAGCCCCACTCTGGTCCCCCCTGAGGGTCTCCTGTCTTTGCCAGGGGCTTTGAACTTCTGGCCTAAGTGATCCTGCTGCATCGGCCTCCCAGGTAGCTGGGACTTAGGGGTAAAGTCTAGCTGGCTCCCAAGGGGTTATTGAACCAGCAGGAAGGAGAGCCGCGGTGCCCAGGTAGCTATGGGGTCGGAGGGAGGGTGGCCCTTAAGAGCTGTGATGGGGCTGGGGGCGTCCAGGGCTGGGGCTGGGGGGATGGAGACTCGTCTGAAAGTCCTGCTTGTCTCCTCCTAGCATCTCAAGTCGGGGTGTAGTAAAGGAAGCGCCCACCTGCTGGAGCTTTCCTACCAGGATTATTTTTCTCACCCTAAACACAGAAGCAGACAACACACTGATATTTAGGATCCATAGGACATGACTGGGCTCCAAATCATTCTTGAGTCGGGAAACTTTGTACAGATCAGCTGGAGCCAGAGAACCAAAAAACAGCCCCGTGGGCCAATCCCTGAGCAGACATGACGTCCTCTGTCACATCCCCACACACCTGGGCTCTGGGTGTGGGACCACTGCTGGGTGTGGGGATAACCTCTGGGTCCACACACAACAATAGAAGCTTAAAAAAAAAAAAAAAAACCTATCTGTGGAGTGCCGGGTTCTGCATAGAAGCATGTGTACATAAGAGGGGACTTGTGGGGTGGGCCCCTCGGAGCACCGTGGCTCAGCTGCAGGCTGGAGAGCCAGGCAGTCAGCAGCAACCTCAGAAGAAGAGGGAGACCCATGGTGGACCCCAGACCAAGGCTGGCAGCCCAAGTCCCAGGCCAAGTGACAGGTGCATGTCCCTGAGTCCGACGGCTAAAGAAACCCGAGTCTGACCCAGAGGGCAGCAGGAGCAGCAGGTGGGCAGGTGGGAGGAGGATCTGTCCCCTCCACCACTTCCCTGCTCCCACCGGCCCCAACCCAGGGGATGCTGCTGCCCCGGACAGTCGGCCTCCTGCACTCAGTTGGCTGACCCACACGCCAGTCACCACCTCCAGAAGCATCAATGCGAGTTCTCTAGGCTCCCCAAGTCCCATCGCTTTAACGCCCAGACGGGTATCACACGCACAGACTTCTGGGGCTGGCAGCGTCCGATGGCCATGGCGGTGGGGCACTGGGTGGCTGGAAGCCCTTTGGCAACAGGGCTGGTTCAGTGGGGGACCAAGGGGGGCGCCCCTCGCGTCTTCAGGTCAGTAGAAGCCACCGAGGGCTTTCCAGAAAGGGCCTGGCCTGGCTGGGCTTGGGAGTGAGGTGAGGCCGGCAGCCGGGTTCAGGTTGGAGCAGGCCTCACTAGGGAGGGCCGGAGAAGAGGCTAGGAGGGACGGGGACAGTATTGGAGGAGGGAGGAGGAGAGAAAGGATCATGGGAAGGGGCAGAGCCGGGGTGGAGCTCTGTGGCAGGCACCAAGCCTGGGTTCCATGCAGCACTGCAAAAATGGGGTGGGGGTGGGGAGCAGCCCCAGGGCCTGGTCCCATGGGTGCCTCCTCTCCTTTCTGAAGTCCTTCAGGTCCTAAGAGAGGCCTGTTAGGCTCAGCCCTTTGCTTCCTGGGACCCACCACCCTGGGTATGGTTGGACAGACTCCCTCAGAGCCCACCACCCGGATCGGCTCAGAACATCCCCTTCCTGATGCAGCCGAGGTGGGGAGGGGGTCCCTGTGGGTCCTGGGACACCCCGGGCCTCACCCAGTGTTTGCAGACACCTCCTGCCCTTGAGGGGGATCCAGAGAGATGGCCTGTCTGGCCGTCTTCCCTCCTTCCATCCTCCACCCACGCCTGCTGCTTTCCCAGGGTGGGATGCTCAAGGTCAAGGACGTGTTGATTTAAGTCTGATGGCAGCTCCGTGACCGTGCAGCGTTCGGCAGGCAGCTCCGTGACTATGCAGCGTTTGAGGGTGATCAAGCAGCCTGCTTCAGGGGGATTCTGGCAAGATTTCGAGTCTTAATTAACAACCGTCACCGCCTGTGCGGAGCCTTGTTAGAGGATGTTTAAATGCCAGCGCTCTGGGGCGATACCTGGGGAGAGCCCTGATGATTTATTCAGGCCTCAATTGATCTTGAAATGCATTTCCGGGGTATACACTGTTCTCTAGATGCAGGTTCTCTGGAAAAGAACACACTGTTAATTTCACGCACAGCGAGTTAAAAATGTCACTCTGTGGGGTCTGAACTGCCATCGCCCGGCTTTGGCAGCCCGGCCTCACCTTGACCTTGACACCTACTGCTGAGGGAAGGGGATTTCCCACTTGGCAGGATAGATACAAGCAGCTCAGATCAGCAGCCCCCCAATCAGGTTTCCCTCCTCCCACAAGCAGTGAAACCAAGTTTGCCGAGAAGAGAATTCCCTGGGCCCGGTACTCTCCATATGAAGGTGTCGGTCACCTGAGGAGGAAATCGGTTTCATGGCGTTGACTTGTAAGGAGGTGTTTCCCCGTGTTTTGACAGAAAGCTGCCCCCTGCCTCCCAGGGACCACTATGACATCACGAAGCATCTTTGGTGACATCTGTTGGCCTTTATGTTGGCGACTGACTGGGCAGGAACTCACTGGGCCACCTTCCCCCCTCCCCTGGCCCAGCACAATCTCCCAGGGAGAGTTTTTATGAGATTGGATGATCACACAATCGCAGTGGGATTTATCAACTGCAGAGGGAGAGGAACAGGGAATGGGCTGGAGAAAACCCCGTGAACTTGAGGAGTCGGCCACGGTCCCATCTGCAGTCATGGGGCGGTGGGGTGAGCCAGCCAGCCAGCCGGGGGGAGGGGACCAGGGGAGAGACGGCCTGACTATGAGACCGCAGCTCTTCTACCCTTGACTTTGAACCCGACGTCATTATGTGCAAGTGGCACAGCATCAACCATCTAGAACTCGTCTGTACCGCGAGGCCGCGTCATGGCCAACCGCAGGGATAGAAAGTCAGTTCGCTTGGTTTCCGCCTGCTGGCCTGAAGGACTGTCCCCCGTCCCCTGCTCTTTGTCTTTTCTGTGTGCAAGGTGTTTACTGAGAGAGGCTTGTTGTGCAAATGCAAGTTGGGGCTTTGGACAGCTTCTCTCTCTCTCTCTCTTCAATTTGTTCTAATGAGTTACACAGGACATAGAACGCATTTTGACACATTGTTCACAAATGGAGCACAACTTCTCCTTGCTCGGGCTGAAGGTGGCGCGGAGTCACCCAGGTTCTGTAATCACACATGTGTACAGGGGAGCAATGGCCGTCTCACTCCATCTCCTTCCCTCCCCACAGCCCCTCCCCTCACTCCCCTCTGCACAATCCAAGGTGGGGCAAGGGGGCGAGCATCCAGGGAGAGGGTCCACGGCTGCCGGGCGGAGCTGACGGAGGGTGCAGGGAGCTGTCACAAGGACGGGGACGTCCTTGGGGAGCCACCCACGGTCTGCTTTGATGACTGTCCAGAGAAACTGTCCTTTAGAACTTTCCACACTCTCACAGGAAAGAGCCCTGGACAGGTTTCCGTGAGCTCAAGATGCCCGGGTCACCAGCACCCGGGTCGAGAGATGCACATCGCCAGGCCCATCACGCCCTGTCCTCTGGCTGCAGTGCAGGTCCCCAGGACAGGGCACCCGCTCCCCAGACTCATGGCAGCAGAGGTCAGTTTACCAGGCCCCTGAGGGATGGAAACTCCGCCGTGTCCTCGATCCCGCAGGACCCCACAGAATAGCAGGTGCCCCGGAGCCACCAGCACTGGCCACCTGGTCCCCATCCTCTGGGTGGGCACGAGCACCAGGCCTGGTTAGACAGGGACAGAGGCAGGGCACGGGGCAGAGCACAGATTTGAGCGGCGGGGACGACCCCCTGTCCTCTGCACTCCTGGGAGAGGTCAGGGTTGGGGTCAGTGAAGACACAGAGGCTCCTCCCCAAACCAGCGTCTGCGCTGCTGGGACGTCACCCGTGGGGACCCCGCACCTTCTGGCCAGACCTGAGCTCCACCCTTGGGAGACCCTCTTCTGGGACCCCACCCTCTCAGCTGAGCCAGGGCCGACGAGCGAGGGGCTGGGATGTAGAGCCTGTGTGCCCCCCCAGCCTGTGGGGTTGATGCACAACATGGAACCATGTCGCCGGGGCGTCTCTGCGCCCGTGGCTGGCCGAGGACACAGGAAGCTCACTGCCTCCCAATGGTTCCTTCAGAGACCTTCCCAGAGCCCAGGGTGTGGGCCCCGGGATTCCGTGCCTTCACTCCTACACCAGCAATTATGGAGCGCCTCCTGTGTGTGGGTCACCTTCCAGAGACAAGTAAGGCAGAGGCAAAAGCTTTGAGCAAGGCTGTGCAATAGTCCTCTAAGATAGTCACAGGGTCACACACAGATAAAGCCTCTGCTCCCCCCCCACCCCCGCCAGGGCTGTTCTAACAGCAACTAGATAGGTGGGAATTTTGGTAGCACATGGCAAACCCTAGCCTGGAATGGCATGAACAGGGAGGAGAGGTGATTGGCTCCTGAGCTGAGACCTCAGATCTGGCTGGCTTTAGGTGTGGCTGGATCTAGGTGTCAGTGGGAAGCATCAGGATTGGTCCCCTGCCCTTCCTTGCTGGATTCCTTCCCAGCCCCCCTCTCTCTACAAAGGGACCCTGGAAAGTACGGACCTGCAATGTGCCACTTTTGAGAATAGCAGAGAGACCTTGTGTGCCCCGGTTCTCTCCGAGAGTGACTGACCTGGGCTGCTGGGGCTGGACATATCTTTCCTCTTGGGCACTGAGTGGGCACAGCCCACAAGCCCCCTGGCCCCTCCACCTTCACAGGACCTGTCTAGGTTCCTGTGCCACGGGGCCCTCCTTGCCCTGGTGGGCACCACGGGTCCATCCCTGTCCATCTGCCAGCCCCGTGTGCAGGTCAGGGGCCACCACCTGTCTGCACATGTCCCTCCCCTCCCTTCCCAGGTCACCCCAGTAGCTTCTCCCTGAGCTCCCATCCCGTCCCAACCCCCTGTCCCCAGGATGCTGTGAAAGGGTCAGTCACTGCGGCTTGCGGGCAGATCCAGCTCCTGACCCTTCTGTGGCCCGCCCACTAAAAACGGTTCTGTATTTTAAAATGATCAGAATAAAAATTTTTTTAAGAACACTACTTTGTGGCCCCTGAAAGGATCCAGAAGTCACTGTCTGTGAAGGCGAATGAAGTTTTCTCAGCAGCAGCTTCGCTCCCGTGCTCACGTGTCACCTGTGGGTGCGTGTGACTGCTGCCCCCACACCAGGACGGAGCTGAGGGGTGGCAGAGGCCGACGGCCACAGTGCCAACTGCTGGTGTGAAATAGCAAGTCCTCAGAATCCCTGGGCTCAGAAATCAGGTGCACCCTGGTGTCCTTGGTGTGGCAAAGTCCTGACCCCATCACTTGAGGCCCTTACAGTCTGGGACACGCCTCTCTTTTGCCCCTGCAGACTCCCTGCCTCCCAGAGTGCCCTGGGCCAGCGGGCACTGCCTCTGTCACCTGCCCCCCACCTCCCACCGCCGCACCAGCTGGTTCCCTTGCCTGGAGTCTTCCTCCTTCCTGGGCCTCCCAGGAGGTCCTTGGAGGCCGGAGTCACCCTGCAGAGTGGGAGTGGACGTTTCCCTCTTCGACAGCCCGCCGAGCTCTGGGCGACCGCCCCCTGGGGCACTGGTCCTGCATGCAGGTCCTGCTCCATCGGCTCTCAAGCAGGTGGCCAGCGTCGTCCCTCCTCCCCCTTGGCCCTGAGCACAGTCCCCCAGTTGAGGCCACACTTTGCGCGGGTGGGAGGGAGGGAAAGTCCATGCCCCCGCTGGAGCCTCTTCAGTCCCCAGGATGGCTGAGCTGGTGGCCCAGGAACACTGGCACAGAAGGGCTGCAGCTGGTGGAGTACAGAGGCCGAGCTGAGGCGGGGGGCAGGCCTGTCACCATTCTGCACCATTCACAAGAGACGCACCGCTGTTGAGACGTGGCTTGAAGTGACTTGAGACTCTGAGGAGCAGATGGGGCGAAGGTAACAGTCGTGGGCATCGGGAATGTTCTCGCCTGTTCCTAGCTCCCCGTTTAGCATAGAGAGTTCTCGAGGAAGGAGAGTGTGTGCTTTGACAGCATGGGGACCGAGAGCGAGGGTCCCCTTACAAGGAGGCGGAGTGAGGCAGGCATCAGTGTTCGTTGGCAAGGACAGCAGCCATCATTAAAATCTGCTTTATTCCTAGACCAGGGTTTCTCACGCGACCTCTGTGGGCATGTGGGGCTGGATGAGTCTTTGCTGTGGAGGTTGTCCTGAGCACTGTAGGAGTTTAGCAGTGTCCCTACTCACCCTCCCCTGTTGTGACAACCAAAATGTCTCCAGGTGTTGGGGATGAGGCAGGACGCACCGTCACTTATGGTTGAGAACCCTTTCCCTATGTGGATGCTTCCTACGCTCGCCTTTGGTGAAAGATCTGATTTTTATTTGATTTATCTGCTTATAAAATACTAAGAGTAAATGCCCGGGAAAATGACCCCGTGCTTGGCAGGGTCAGAGGGTTTATGTGCTTGTTCTCATCCGTCCTTTTCCTGTCTTGGTGGGCAACAGAGGGTCCCCGGGCGACACTGTAGCACAGCCCTGGACTCGGGGTAAGGTCAGAGGGCACCCTGTGCCTGGGTGGAGGTCAGGGTTCTGGTCTTGATGCTTTGCACACGATTCTTCCCTTGGGCGTGCGTGTGTCCGAGGAGTGACTCGTCCCTGTGGAAGGTGGCAAAGGCCACTCCTGGGTCACACACCTCTGGAGCTCGGGGTGCTTAGCTTCCCCGAGGAAGGGCTGGAGCGGAGCTCCCGTCAGTCTTCCTGGGTTTTGCTTCCTCCCCCTGGAGCTGGAGGTCAGTCCCACTGGAGAGAGGATCCCTGCCCGCCCCGCGCTGGACGCAGAGCACGGTGTGGTCCACGTCCTGGCCCAAGGTCGGCTTCAGCGGTGCTGATTGGTCATCCTGGGAAGTCTGACACCCTCGCCTTTTGTCCTGTGGCCCTGAATGAGTCTGTGAGCAGAGGGAGACACGGTGGGGGGAGTGTCTGCGTTTTGAATCCAGGTGACACACCAGAAGGAACAGGCCCCGGGAGCGGCCAGTGAGCGAGAGTGGCCTCCTGGGTCTTACCCTGGGATTGCTGTGAGTTTCCGTTTACAACAAGCCCACGGTGCTCTTGTGCAACCCAGGGGGTCGTCCGCGCTCCTTCCAGCTCAGGGAGGGCGGGAAGGATGAGATCCAGACCCAGCGACTCTTCCCTAGAGATGTCTCGCCCATCGGAGCCGAGGGGGACGTCAGAGAGGCCCCCGCAGGAATCCTGCACTCTCTTGTTCTCCTGAGAGTTTAGAGGGAAAAGGGGTCACGTGTCCCCGTCACAGCCGTGTGGGTTAAGCCCTGCTGATGACGGACAGACCTGCCTGTCCCCTCCTCCACCTGTGC